TTAAACCATCTGGGCCTTATGTGCCTTCTTCCCTGCTTTTTATGAGAGCTTTGTAACGACTGATTTAATAATTTCTTTAATAGCGAATGCTCTATTTGGGTTTTCTAGTCCTCCTTCAGTCTGTTTCGTTAAGTTGTATTTTTCTAGGAAACTGACCATTTTATCCAGGTTTCCAAATTGAACTGCATAGAGTTAGTCAAAGCATCTCGGGCTTGGAAGGATTATATCCTTCCATGAATAAGCAAAAGGGTGAGTCCAAGACGTGACTCCTGCCGCACCCGCACACCCCACTCCCCAATCACAGCCTCTGTGTGTCAGACATCAGGACTTAGGAAGCATGTCAGTGGTCACGGTTTAGCAAGTGCCCTGTACTGCCTAGAACCCAGCTGGGCACTGATCTAGGGGCCAGCTCTGGAATCAAACTGCCTGGATTTCTCTCTGAGCCCCACCATGGGCACACGTAACCGCAGCCTCCTCCTCTACAAAATAGGCATCTCAACAGCTACTGCCCAGGACTGCTGTGAGGATCACAAAAAGTACTTTACTTTGGAAACTCCAAGGCCTCATCACCGGGAAGTCCCCATGCTCTCAAACTTTCAACTTATCACTTTTCAAATCACAAACTTTCAACTTAGAAATTCTCACGACTGCAGACTCAAGGTCCAGGTTGAAGGCACTTCAAATCTCCCCAATACCACCAGTGTGTATTCTCAATCACCATCTGTCATTTTTGTCTCAACCATCTTGGTGCTCATTTGTCTGGAACAGAGGTTCTGAAAGTGAGTTCCCAGACCAGTGGCAGCATGTGGGAACTTGCTGGAAATGCAGATTCTCGGGCTCTCCTCTATATCTACTGAATCAGAAACTTGGGGTTGGCACAGCAATCCGTGTGGGGTTTTTTGGGGAGGAGAGTTGTTTGTTTTTCTTTTTTTTTTTTTTTTTCAGTTGTAGCAATCCGTGTTTTAACACATCCTCCAGGAGATTCTGATGCTGGATTCATGTTTGAGAGCCCTAAGTTCTCGAAAGTCATAGGGCATTTCCCATGCTCGTGCTCAGTTCTGAAGTGCTTTTAAAACATGGTTACTCCATCATGTTCGATGAAAGAAAAAACAATCACGTTGAAAGAGTGAGTAGGAAGAGATAAACAAACATTACAGAAGTAAATGCTGAGATAATTTTAAAAGATCAATGGAGAGAAAATGGCAAATGTTGCATGTTTGTGCTGGATGACTCATTCGATGACAGGAACAATTCTGAAAACACCAAACCAAGCAGTGTCTGAGATGCAGTGCCGGGACACGAGGAAAATGATCTCGAAATTCAAAGAAATGTTAACACGGGGCCGCAGAATCAGCATCGACAGTGGAAACTCACTGGCTTTGTGGAAATTTGGAGAAGGCTGGGTGTCCATGTGTGTTGAGACAGGGTGTCAGAGTGACACCCCATCTCCCTGTTAGGAATATTTCCACACATTAAAGGCTCATCCGAGTCTGTAAGGTGTTGTTGATTCTTTAGCCTATTTAGACAAGAGTCCTAATCAGTTCTCCTGGACCAGACCATGGAAGTTAACCCAGCAGCTTCTCCACACAGATGAAACCAGTCTGTTTTAGGGGGGGGAAAAAAAAAAAAAGGAATGCCTGGTAGAAAGTGCATCAGCAAGGAGGAGAAACTGTCAGGTTTTAAACCTTCGAAGGGCCAAATCGCACAACTACTTACAAGCTTAAAATCCAAGGAGTAACTCTGGATCTGCCACAAATGGATCTATGAACCTCTGCTTACAACCAAACACTTCTACAGAAATTACTGGACATACACACCCACGGCCATGACAATTCAACATTTAAAATGCATAACCCGCACCCTGTCCCCTGAGGTGCCAGCTCATTTGATTGCGGTGGAGCCCATTTTTAACAAGCTCTCCAAGGGATACCGAGGCAGATGGTCCCCGGACCAAAGAGCCGTATGTCATTACAGAAGAATCGGAATCAAGAGCAGTACTGAGTCGCTGCATACGCTTCACAAACATTGCCGGGGAAAATGCAGTCTGAAACCAAAACACCACCCGCCACAGCCCTGATTTAGACTTGTTCCCACAGCACAGATCAGGGAAGTCAGCAGTAAATGAGTAACGTGTTACATAAGTTGCTTTTCTGTATGCAGAAATTTAATCCACCAGAGAAAAGTTAAAATCATATAAAAAGCAACAGCCCACCCCCAAAACAAATGCTGGGGAAGCATAGCCAGGATCTCCCCATCCACTTTCTGCCAAGCAAAGATGAGCCCTTCTCAGTGCTGAAATCCCCGCCCCCTCACCCTCTTGCCATTGAGAACTGGATCCTTTGATGCAGGTGGTCAGGGAAAGTGGACTTGGGGAGCAGGGAAGAGGAGGATATTCAGGGTTCCACTTGGGCACTGATACTAACTTTATCAAGGCTTCCCACTGGTTGAAAAAATACGTGGAGCCTTGTTTTGTTTAACTACACCTCTGACCCCTTGCTGTAACGTTCTGGAATCATATGACACCCTCTATCTTAGGTCTTGTCCAAGAATCTCAAATCTTTCTCTCTCTCTCTCTCTTCCCCGCTCTCCCCACTCTCCTCTCTCTCTTTCTCTCCCTCTCACAAGGATTCCCAGTCTTTTCCTCGCTCTGGTTACCCCAAGACCTTAATAAGAAGCTAGTTCTAACTAGAGTGTTAAAGGCTGGCAGTGGTGGGGCATTTATCACCCCCAGTAACCACAGAAGATGTCAGTGCGAGTATGACGAAGGCATACCATGTATATAACATATATGTCGCTCCTTCCAATGAGTTGGCCTCAGGAGTCTTCTCAACACTGACCTACAGACCTCCACTCTGAGCTTATTGAAGTATAGATTGTAAGTTTCAGTGGGATAAGTCCTTATCTATCTTTTTATTACTCTACTCCAAGCAGCTATCATGGCGTCTAACTCTTAGGAAATTCTCAAAATAATAAGTATTGAATTGACACCTGATGTGACATTTAATTGCCACCCCCGTATTGCCACAGTGCATGTCTCCAAATGCAGTAGAGTCACCTGGGGTGCTTGTTAAAAACCCATCTTCTGGGCTCCGCTCCACAAATCAGACTCTTTGGGAACTGCATTTTTAACAAGGTGATGGGTAAGCCTATACACATCCAATCTGAGAACCACTGCCTTAACCTTACAGGGGAATCTCGAGGACAACAATACTGTGGGATGTGATTAAGCAAAAGGGCCCTTGGGGAATACCTGAAACAGAACACAGTAGAGGCGGGCAGCTTCCTCCTCTCTAGCAAGGCATGGGCCCGAGTGGAGTAAAGAATATTCAACATGGGAAAAAGTGAGGCCATGAAGAGATCAGAGATGAGAAAGTTCTGGAGAAGCATTCTGGAGCTAAAATTCTAAGTTACTGATCTCAGCAGGCTCTACCTTGCCTACTTCCCCTAGCGCATGTGGCATGCCCCATCATCAGATCATGAACCGGGGGCATAGACAAGGCCCAAGGATAGAGAGAAAAAGGCTAGCAGCCATGCCTCACTGTGGAAAGTTGCATGGAATGAGGCATGCACCTTCACCTAGACTTCTTCAAAAGTCTGGCTTCTCTCCTTCGCGCTGTAGTCTGGCAGCTAAGTCAGCAAACCATCCTCTCGTATGCTTCTCCTCTCACTCTTAGGGTGGCCACATCTGGAGCAGGGCAGGGGGCTGCTACCAGCCAGGAAGCACGCCCAGGTCCCCTTTGTCTGCACCCTAGGAGCCTCAGAAGTTCCCCTCACCAACCACCATTCCCAAGACAGGGAATTCCTCTGCTGCAGGCAGCTGTCACAGGAACATCAAACATGAATGTTTGTGCCAGGTCTTGTTTATAAAAGCCCACTTCTCCCAGAGAGATGAATTTTTAAAACAAACAGCATTTACATATGTTAGCAGGCAGAGTCATGTCAGCATCAGGGATACCCAGACAGAAGCGTGAATCAATCTGGGGCAGAGACTACTAAATAAATCCTGTTTGGGTGAGATTCCTCTCTGGAGAAAGAGAAACCTCAAAGCAAATTGCTCAGATTCCCCAGGAAGAGTCCCTGAAGATGTCATGCTCTCCCCAGCGGGGCATGCCCTGAGCACTCAGAACTCTGAAAGCACCATCACCCCACCCCTCCAGGATCTCTCCCAACCCACCCCACATCCCACCACATCCCACCGTCTCTATTACCACACAAGCTCTGGTTCCATCCAGGACATCGACTATCTGCACACGTGCAGAATATCTTGACACACCAAGGCTTAAGATTCTAGCAGCTAAAGAGAAAAATGCCACCGCATAGACACACAAGTATCTGAGAAATGAGGGGGTGCGCATAACCGGTATGGACAGTTAACTCGGTCAGGGCGCCATTTGACTATTGGAGAAATGTCAGGTTTGGGAGCTTGAATTACCTGGGTCACTACCTCCTCTGTCCTTAATTTTTCCTGTGGGGACTTGGTCAGGGGGAAGAATTCTATCATCTTTGCTGTGTTACTTCCAAGAATTAGCACAGGACAGGAACAGGGTAGCATTTAGGACCTGTTTCAGAAACGGGGCCAGATCATGGAGGACCAGACACCAGCCCAGACCTCTGGGCTACACTGCCGGAGGCCTGAGGAGCCCGAAAGCAAGGGCTCTGCGGGACATGAGTCTCAGGTCCTGGTGGGTAAGGACTTTGAGCTACCCTCACAGGAGAAGCTCTAGAGTGGTTACCATGACCTTGAGTGTCTTCAACTGCAGTCGGGAATTTTCAACCCATTGCAGGCCTTGCCGGAGCATCAGTGGCTTGCCCCGCGCCCCCACATGCATAGGTGTCAGTAACCAGTATGGGCACGTGACCAAGTCCACATGGTCCTAGGAGGGAGAGACGAAGGGAAAAGTACTGCCTAGCTAAGAGTCAGGGATGGGATGAGATACATGTATCTCCCCGTGAAGCAGCCATCTGCCATGGCAGATGCAGGAGAAAGACAAGACACATACCAAGCCCGTTCTCTGCCACTGCAGCATGGTTGACATCACACTCGCCCAGGTCTTGCTCTCCGATGTCATTCAAATCCAAGCCAGGCTGGTGGGACCCATTTCCTAAGTGCCTCTCATCCTTCTCAGAACCGGTGTCTCCGTTTTCCATGCCATTTTGAGCCTTTTTCAGGGGCATTATTTGCAAACCACTGGGGGTAGTCCTGTAAGACACTGTCTTGGCGGCCCTATCACCTCCTGCAGGGGGCTTTGCTGGATACCCCTTCTTCGGCTTGGACAGGGAAGGGGTGATTCGCTTCCGTTTGTGGGAAGTCCCTTTGCTCTTTGCAGATTCTGACGGTCTGTGAGAGAGTTTCTCCACCGATGGGCCTCTGCTGTCACGCAGGAGCTTGGAGGCGCTGGCCTGCTTCCCTGACTTGATCCTCTTGTCCTTGGACACGTGCAGCCCATTGAATTCATCGATAAACTCCTCACAGTGCAGCAGATGGTGTTCTGGCTCCCACGTGTCCTCTGTGCTTCCGTAGCCTTTCCATCGAATGAGATACTCCCATTTTCCTTTCTTGTTCTTCCTCTTGTCTACAATCCTTTCAACCTGGGATATAAGATGAGAGTCAGAAAAGAGAGAGAGAAAGGGAAAAAGTCAGTCCCAGACAACAAAAACAGCACAAAGCCCTCAGGATAAAGGCTGTGGAGTGAGCTGTTCAACGCAGGAAGCTGATACTTCCAGGAGCATTTAAGATGGCTGGTTTATTTTAGGACATCACTGAATGGAACCAAAGGTTCATGGTTGTTTCCCATGACAACGTAATGACGCCTGGCTGGTGGCATCTGCCTGACCAACCAAGGCTTACTCTTGCTTGAAATCACACTGTAAGTTTTCACTAAAGATCTTTATTCTTCTCATTGCACCAAAGTAGAATTAGACTTTTAAAGACCTATTTGGTGTTGGTTTTTTACCACAACTTATAATAATAATAAGTAACACTTATTGAGTACTTATACGGTAAGCACTATGTATATGTATCCTTACTTATACATAGTAAGTATAATCATTACTATTACTATTACTAAATGTTGTGCTTGGACACCCCTATTTCATTTTCTCCTGACAAAAATCCAATGTGGTAGGTATTCTTTCCATCCCCATTTACAGTGAGGAAACTCGGGCTCTGAGAGATTAAGTCATTCAGCCAAGTTCCAGGCTAGTTAGGGCAGAGCTAGGATTTGAACCATTCTCACCCCAGATTTATTTTTTTAATCACTAGGCCATACCAACTCTCAACTACAAAAATCATATTGATCAAAAATGACTTGAGTCGACAAAGCCCAACTTCCCCCGACACAGGGCCCCAAGCTACAACACAGGGGGTGCAACTGTGAGGCAAAGAGACAGGTAACATTTGTTGAGAGCCTACGATGTGCCTTGCATAACCCCATGGGGTGTACGATAATATTACTATCATCTGATAGATGAAAGGACTGAGGACAAGGCAACTCGCCTACAATGCAGGGCCAAGAGGTGGTGGGGGTGAGATTGGAACCTATGTATCTGTCTGGTTCTAAAGCCATGTGCGACTGTCTTCAAACCTTCAAATGTAAGAAAATATCCCCTGTCTTCAAGTAAACCCTTAGAAAAATGCCCGTCTTAATGCCAATAACAGTATATTTAGGTGAAGGGTATGTGAGGGTTCATTACTCTTTCAACTTTGCTATAGATGTGGAAATTTTTTTAATTAAAAAATGACAGAACACTCCAATGTTCTACCAAAGAAAAGCAAAATTTCAATGCAAGTAAAAAATTATATTCAAAAGCTTATTCTATTTCAAAGTCAACATAATATACTTTTCTAGAATGAAATTTTGACCTAATGACATTAAGTAATAATTAAAGAATATATCCTCGAAACATACAAAAAGAAAAAATAATATGAGAGGGGAGAAGTGGATAGTTATAGTTGATAATTGTTGGAGATGGATAATGGGTATGTGGGGATTTATTATATGACTGTTCATGTTTATATGTTTGAATTTTTATATGTTTAAAATTTTTCATGATAAAAAGAAAAATTTGAAAACCGAGATTGTCTCTCTCAACAGAAGCTATGCAAATTAAATGACTCATCACTTTGCACTTAATAAATGTGTAAACAGCAGAGCCATCCTGCCTCTTCATAATACTGCTTCTTCATGGACAATTTTATTTGTTTCCTTAATTGATTTATCTCAAATCAAACTGGCCTGTTTATATAAAAATCTCTTTCCTTACAAAATGCTCTGTGAACATCTGTTTTAGATTTAGTACATAATTTTTAGATGTATCACACAAACTCTATAACAGTTTTAAAAAGTAAAATCACATTGAACTAATTCAACTTCCTATCTTTGGGTCAAGGAATGGGGCTAGTTGAGTTTGCTTCAGAAAGTCAAGAGTGTTTCTGGAAGGGCCTTCAGCCTTACACATTTGAAGGATTTTGAAGGGGGAAGTCCTCCACAGGTTTACAGAGAAACAGAAGTGAACAAGCAACCTGGTCCTGCCTGAAATAGTAGCATTCCCAAGAACACCAACCAAGGAGAGTCAGGAGCAAGCCCAGATATTTCTTTGGAGCTAAGGGATTTGTGGTATGAAATTCTCCAGCTTCAGAAAGCATATGGTTGGCTCCCAGGATGGAGAAACTTCTTCCCCAGGATGAAGCAGAAAACCAGGCTAGACAAACAGCCAACACAGTGGATTGGTGCATGCGTGGGTGGGTGGATGGAAGAATGGATGGAAAAATGGATGGTTGAGTGGATGGATGAACAGATGGGAGGATAGTGAGATCAGTGAATGCATGAAAGGATAAATAAATGAACAGATAACTGGATGGAGGGGTGATGGTTGAAAGGGTGGGTAGAGAGGTGGGTTCTAAAATAAATAGGTGAATAGATAGATGGCACTCACTCATCAAAATGAGCTTAGCATAGTACTTAAGAACACAGGCTATGGAGTAAGACTATCTGGTTTAAATATCTTGCTAAGCCTTTTATCATGTATTCTTGAGCAAGTTACTAACCCTCTTTGGGCCTCAGATGACTCATCTAGCAAGGGGGAAATAACAGCATGTACCTCATAGGGTGGCTGTGGAGAATACACAAATAAGCAGTTTTGCATTCCACAGTAAAGGTCACTTAATCTTGCAAATCCTCCTGTGAATACAAACCTTGGTGGCATTTAAAGACAATTTCCCCATCCTGCAGAATATGACCCCTTAGAATAACCAATTCCTCCCTGAGGAGAAAAGAGAGTACACCTACTTAGATAAGTTCTTCCCAGTGTGGGAGATGGCTATCCAGAGCAGGGCTGCTTGAGAAGCCTGGGAGTCTGCAGGGGTGCAGTATCTACAGGCCTGTTTGGAGCCACACTGGGGTGGCGGGTGGTGGGATGAAGACCTTGATTTTTTTCCTCCCAGTTACTGGAGGATTGAGTCACAGGGTCACGAGTGTCACTTTATGGGGGACAAAAAGACCACTGCTCCCACCTCTGGTCCCATCCACAAATCCATAGGGTAGTCTAACAGCCATTTTCATTTAAATTAACCCAGTACTAAAGATGACCAGTTTTAACAGGATCAACCCTGTTAACAGCCTGATATACAGGGGCAGAGAACTCTTAGCTCTGCTACTTTCTGTCCAGATGACCCCAGGTAAGCTGCTCAACCCCTGTGGCCTTCAGTGTCCCTGTTTGTAAAATAGAAATAGTGGTAGTTATAACAGCTGCTACCTTTCTTGGAAGAAAGAAAGGAATAAGAAAGATATGGGGAAAGTAAAGTGTCTTGAACACCACAAAGCACTATAAGGAGATGAGTGGAATCGCTCTAATATGTATGAAACCTTAGTTGACAAAACTACTTTTGTATACAATTATTTCCTCCACGTTTAAACGTTAAAAAAAAAAAACTGCTTTTTTCAGGTTTAGAAAAACAATTGCTTTTTCTGAAAGACCAAAATACCCAGAAGGAGCTCAAAGAAAGCTGGCTCCCAAATACACCATCGTACTTTGAATGTGCCATCTCCTGAGACCTCATCTCCTTCTTCATATGTGTAGGTTTTCTAACCCTCTTCCCCTCTTCTTCAGAGCATCTCAAACAGAACCAGAATTCTAATTCGTTCTGTTGATAACAAGCCCACGTTCTTTAGGACGCGATCTTGCGTAGGATTGCAACATTCTGCCTGCAAAAAACCCTTTCCTCCCCCTAAGCTGCCCCAGCCTCTTCCACTATTCCCTAACTCCTCACACACTGCTTAAAACAGAGACTTGGGCCTCCAGGTGCTGGCAGCTCTTCTGATGCCCCACTCCCATCCTACCTGCACAGGCCACCTGCAGCACCTGAAGCCCAGTCCCTTCCTAGAGACAGACAATTGTCAATTCCCTTCCCTTGTCCACGTACGTACTAACCACTGCATGGATAATACTTAAAAATCCTGTGCTAACTCACACCTGCCAGCTTCTTTCAAAGATTAGCAATCTGAGATCCTGAACTATTACTTAGAGTTCAACCAAATCATTAATTAACATTTACTCTCTGTGATCCCAGCTAAGATGAGATGCCATTCTACTGCTGGTAGGAGCAGGAGAATTCTGATGCAGTTATTAGCAGTTCCACAATGACAAGTGGAAGGCTGTCTCATTAGGAATAATAATAATAACAATCAGCATTATTGGTACATGCTAAGTTCCACAAACTGTGCTAATAAGTATTTATAAGGTGTTAGATTTCACCTTCATACCAGGTTTTCATCTGGGTATTATTATTCTCACACCATTTGACAGGTGAAGAAATTGAGGTTCAGAAAACGCAGGTAATTTTCCCTGGATCACACAGTCAGTAGGTGGATAGGCAAGACTGGAACTCTAGTTCATCTGACTCCTGAGCCCACGTTCTTAGCCACCTGGCCACACCTCACCAATGGGAAACTGTCAAGCTAGTGGGGGACACAGCCCTTAAACGAGTGAGCACAAAGTAACATGTGGGAACAAGTGGCAGAGAGCTCCCTGGTGGGGAAAAGAAAGGTGTCGTGAGAAAAAATGGCATCGGGGTTGAGGCTACTTCAGATTGGACGAGCAGGATGGTTCCTCGGCGAAAGCACCATTTAAGCTGAAACCAAAGTGGGCCGTCAGAGATGGACACAATCTAGACCAGTGAGAGGCCGTACCAAGCAGAGGGAGGTCACTCTGCACCTTTCACTGGCAGGCTAACCAAACACGCCCACCACTGCACATTTATTCAGCATTGATTAAGGGCCAGACACTGCTGTATGTGATCCCTATGTATTAACTATTTATTACATATACGCACTCATTTAATCTTCAAAATAACCCAACAAGGCAAGTAATTTTCTTTTTTATAGAGAATAAAATGGAGGCACCCAGAACTTAAGTGCCTTGGCCAAGGCCTCACCTCTGACAGGCAACAGAGACCTAAGACTTGATCCAATGTGTCTTGGCTCCAGACCCCATGCTTTCAATGACTATACTATATCCACCTCCCACTCTGGTCCAGTGGGCCCAACCTGACTAAGGCTGACAGCATATCTGCAGCTTCAAATGCTTGCCCTCGACTCCTGCCAAGGTCACAGAAAATCAACAGCACCTTTATATGGCTTAGGAGCAGCCTCCTGAGCTTGACTCTCCTGGAGTCCCCTAGCATGCCATGTGGGCCTCCCTGGCTCCCCGTTCTGCTCCAATTCTCCATTGGTACTAACAGAAAGAGACGAATCATCAATCATACTCTCTATCCCAGATTTCCCACCAAGTGGAAACATCATATAAAAGTATAATAATTCGGGAACCCAGGATTACCAAAGATTTTCCAGACTCTTGAAGGAATGCCCCCACACCAGACGGGACTGGGTAGAGAAACTGTGCATTACAAGTGCACGTCTTAACCTCTGAATGCAAAGAGCAAGGCTAAAAAAGAATAAAGAAGAATGCCCACGCCTGCTGTCTGCCCATGTACACCAGAGCAGCCATCCCTAGACACTCCCCGATTCCGGACCTCACACCATACATCCACAAGGACCTCTCTTGCTGCATCCTTTCAACATCCTGGGACAACTCCCTTGAGGGTAGAAAGGCACGGGGGCCTCATCATTACAACTTGAGGTATGAAGGACTTGGGAAAGATAAACATGAGACGATTTCTGGGAGCAACTAGGTGTTTCTGGTCTAGAAGACCGATTGCTTCACTTTAGTTTAAACAGATCCCCACAAAGTGAGACCCCTCCCTTTAGGAGGTAGAATTTAACTCCTCTCCCCTTGAGTGACTTCTCCCCTTGAGAAGGCAGTATGAACAGGTGGTGTGTGCTGCTCAGTCCAGCAAAACTACACTAAAAAAAGAGACCAAGAAATTCGGTTCAGAGCCATGTAATTCAATCTAGCCTCCAGGTGATGGTCTGAAGGGGGAGCTCAGTAGCATCCAAGTGATAAGGGGGCCAACATAAATTTCCACACCCACTCTACTAGAAAATGCAAAACCAGAGACCTCTCTTTCATAAGAATACACAGACAAAAACTGGTAACAGGAACATCATCAGAAGATATAGAAGAACTTCTAAAGCATAACAGAATATGATGCTAACTAAAAATTCTCAGTAAAATCTAAGAAAAACACTACTACACATTTTTTGACAGCGTTTATGTAGTCTTTTCAAAGACTACACAAAACATGACCTCTGTTTTTAAAAGAGAGAGAGAGGGGAAAAAAAGATAAGCGATGACATGAAACCAACAGGTTGAGGAGAAAACCAAAATAAAAGACTCATTTACACTAAAAAGGATGTAAGGAAACCAGAGGGAAAAAGCGAGTAAAAAAATCAAATTCCCATTGGAACCAGGAAAGGACAGAATCAACATGCAGAATATAAAATCAGCGATATAGACAACATACTTGAAAAGCTCTCCAAGACTGCAGAAGAAAAGGACACAGAGATTTTGAAAGAAAACATAAAAGGAAAATGAGAATAGATATCCAGGAGACTCAACCGATTTAAGTCTGGCAGAGGAAAAAAATCCAAATGGGGCAAGAACACTAATAAGGCATAATAGAAGAAATCTCTATACCTTGAGTCTGTAGGTCAAAAAAAAAAAAATCTTAGTGATGGGGGAAGCAAAGGTTGAGAATAAATCAACTTATTTTTATTCTTGCAAAACTTCTTAATTTTAAAAAATTAAACTCCCCACTCTCACACTGCAACCTTCCCCTGTCCAAAATGAAAGGATAAATATCAGGCAGACTTCAAAGAATATTAAATACCAGATCACTAGTTGTAAAAATAAATATCGTAAACTTAAGAATTCAAAAGCCAGTCAGTGGACCTTCAGATGAGAAAGAAGAAGGACGATATCTCCTGTGTTAAGTGACAAAATATAAACTACTCATTTAAAAACTGAGCCTAAAGGATCTTGAGCCAGAAAATAATAAAAGTATTCCAAAAAAGTAAATAAATAAACCTCGAATGAGGGGAGTCAACTGAAAGAGCTCTCAATGGCCAAAGCTAAAATAATTTGAATAACAAAATAAATAGTGATAATACCACATTTCTAACCCAAAGAATAAACTATCCACGATTTAGCTGATATAAATAAATGAATGAATGATCAGAAGTTGGCCTGCATGCCAAATCCGGCCTGATGCCTATTTGTAAAATTACAGATATATTGGGACGTACCCATGCCCATCCATTTATATATAACCTATGGCTGTTTCACAGTACAAAAGTAAATCATGTAACAGAGACTAAGGGCCACAAAGTCTAAAATATTTGCTATCTGATTCATTACAGAAAAAGTTTGCTGACTTTAGAATAAATAACAAATGGAGAGAAGGGACAAATAGTCCTTATAGAAGAATTCCAAATAATAAATATAAAAAGATTATAGGAAATAGAAAAATCACTATTAGCACAGTAATAACGCTGCAGGCAATATCCACTGAAGAATGCTAAATTTCATGGGTAAAAGCTTAAAGACAAATAGGATATTTGCACAGCCTCACAGTATCTCCCCTGACAGGTTTATTAACCACCTTGATAGTTTAAACAGATGCCCACAAAGTGAGACCCCTCCCTTTAGGAGGTAGAACTTAACTCCTCTCCCCTTGAGTGACTGGACTTAATGACTCCTTTCTAACAAAAAGAGTATACAAAGGAAAAAAATAGTAACTATATGGTGGAGAAACCTGGCAAACACAAGTGATCACGGTTACATCACCTGTGATAAATCATTGTTGATGTCATGTATATTCTGACATGATTCACTGAGAAGGGTGTAATTCTCCAAACCTATAACCACATGAGAAAACATCAAACAAATCCAAATTGAGGGACAATCTACAAAATACTTGACCAGTACTCTTGAAAAGTGTCAAGGTCATGAAATGTGAGAAAAGACCAAGATACTACCTTAGAGGTGACTGAAGAAAAGTTACAACTAAATGCAATGTGAAGGTTTCAGTCAAGATAGCAAAGTAGGAAAACGCTGTGCTCGCCTCCTTTCATGACCACATCAAAATTACAACTAAACAACAGAACTAAAATTGTCTTTGAGAATCACCTGAGGTCAAGCTGAAGACAAGTTTTACACTAAGGAAATATAGATGAAGCCAGGTCGAGACTGGTAGGAGGGGTGGAAACACAGAACAGACTGGTCCCCATACCCACGTGTGGTGGTTAAAAATCAGAAGCCATATCTCTATTGCGGAGATATCCCAGAGGAGTGGGAGGTCCCAGCCCCACACTAATAGCTCTCTAGCCCAGAATTTCAGTGCTGGGAAGATGAGTCCCCACAACTACTGGCTATGAAAACCTTCGGAGATTGTGGCTGAGTGAGAAGGAGGGTGGCTGGAGTGCCAGGCGCTCCTCTTAAAGGGCTCGATGCTCCTCTTAAAGAGTCTGAATAATGATTTACTCAATGACAGACTCACTCACTGGGGCAGCTGCGCGAAAAGCGCCAAGGACATGCTGGGAGGAGATGAGTTGTCTGGCCGAGGACTGGAGAAGCAGCTTCCACCCAGACAAAAGTGCTGGCAGAAGCCACTGT